CATGGCATCGGGCGACAGCTGAGTCAGCGCCACAGTTTACCCTCTTTCTCCAAAAACCAACCAGTGGAGAACTGCCGAGCCCATGTCTGAGCCCCGATACGCCCACCAGAGTGTCTCCTATCTGCACTTTATCTTTGTGTTGGGGGGCATTGGGGCAGACAAGAAAATCTCTCAGTCTGTGGAGAGGTACAACAGCATGTTTAATCAGTGGGAGGTCATGGCACCAATGCCCACAGCTGTGCTGCACCCAGCTGTGGCTGCCAGTGATCAGAGGATCTACGTTTTTGGAGGCGAGGACGCCATGCAGAACCCAGTCCGACTGATCCAGGTACCTGCTGTGTTGGAAGTTACACAGCCATATGATGAGTCATGTTCCTGACAGTCCCTTCCGTGGTGTTTGTTGCTTGTCAACAGGTCTATCATATTGCTCGCAATTTGTGGTCGAGGTTAGAGACGAGGACAGTGAAGAATGTCTGTGCCCCTGCTGCTGTCATTGAGGACAAGATCTTCATCATAGGAGGTAAGTTTGGATTTTCCCCTGTAGAAAAAAAGACCATCACATATGTTATTTAATCATCTTTATTGAGACAGAGCTTGTGATAATTCTCAGGCTATACCCGACGAATGATAGCCTACGACACCAAGGGCAACAAATTTGTCAAATGTGAGAATCTGAAGGAGCGTCGGATGCATCACAGCGCCACCGTGATCAACAACAAGCTCTACATCACGGGAGGACGTATCCTCAACGGCCATGATGTCATCGAGGACTCGGACTGCTTCGAGTGCTACGACCCAAAGACGGACGTTTGGACCTCGAAGGGTTCCTTACCCTACAAACTGTTTGACCATGGCTCTCTGCCTCTGGTCTGTGTTTCCAACAGACCAAACCCACCATGACTGTTCCTCAACTCTCTGCTGCCCAGATTTCTCACCCTCCATCTGAACAATAGGAAATCTCCAAGTAAACGGTCAAAAAACAGTCTCTGCTAATCAGAATAATCTGTGCTGACATGCAGAGATGACATTTGTGTTGGAAAACAGCCCTAGAGGTCCCAACCTGCAACAACAGCTCAGACAACTATGTTCAGTAAAACCAGCAGTTCATTCCATTGGCTGCACGGTGCTGCACTGATGTTTACCAAAGAGGTTAATGTTTTCATTTAGTCACAAAATGCATTTAAACTTAAATACCTTAGATCTACTGCAGTTGCACTTTGTAGAAAATACATTCCTCCCTGACCTTTGTGCCTCTAACAGAGGCTGAGATAATGAACTGACAGGACATGGTCAGCTCCTGTGGCAAACACGTTAGTCTGTCATGGAAAATCAAATGTTAGTAAGAAGAACATGGACATTTATTGTAACATCTTTTTTTAGTTTTAACTAATGACTCCAGAAGCCAATCCTCCTCCTACTGTATTGGTATCAGCACATTCTTTACGGTTGCATCATGGACATGAGAAAAAAAAAATCTCTTCAGGCTTTAAGTTACAGAATGTTGATGTAAGGTCATGTGACAGTGGTGCCTCTGAGTAGAAGCAAATGGGAAATGAGCCCACACCGAGAATGAGTGGCCTGAAAAAAGATCACGTTCACTGGCATGAAATGAACCCCATGGCAGCTTCAGTTTTCAAATCTATATCTTCAGGGTTTTTTTCTCAGGACGCATGATGCCAAAAGATGAGTGACAGAGTGTATGACAACAGTAATAATGTGGACATGCAGGATATGGGGAACCATTTTACAGATCTGAAGTTCTTTTTTTAAGGGGGTCTTTATGCATTGGGAGTTGTGCTAAAGCAGCCCTTGACTTGTCTGCAAACATAAAGAGCACTGTGTGTGTTGGCACTCTGTATCAACCCTGTTGCCTGGCTGTAGTTATTTTCAGTATCAGTTACCAACTGATCAGGGGAAACGTTCTTGTTGCTGGCCAAATATGTGAGTACTTATTCACACAATCAAATACAGAGACAGTTATTTGGAGAGTCATCATCCTGATGTTGACCTCTGTGGAAATAGCTTGTTATTTATTACATTTCTTTAGTGCAAGAGTTTGTGTTAGTGTAAGTATTTGTTATAGATGTAAACACGCCGATTTCTTTAAAATGTATAAGCGATGTACTTCAATACTGCAGTGTACGTGTTGTAACACACGAGGCCGCCATCGTTACAAAACTAGACGAAGACAGCAGGACGTCCTGCTCTCGGTGCCCCTTGCGAATTTACTGTGTACTGTTACAAAGTCCAATTTAAGAATCATCCAAATTTTATTAGAATTTCTTTGATAAAAAGTGACAAGTCACAGTAGAGCATGCACACATTCCATAGAGATTTCTTTTTTAAAATAAAACTGATCAAATGTACTAATTTACTGGCGCATGACGTCAACGGACAGGCTCGTTATCGACGGTGTTTTTATAAGTAACCGTCACGGACGTCTATAGTGCGGTAGTGTTTTACGGTAGTGACAGTTACAATCACGTCAGTGTAGTGTCTGTTCAAATATCTGTGAATCGACCTGCAGCCAGTTGGCACTGTGGGACCTGGAGGTAACAACTGACTTGTTATTATTATAAGTAATTACGACAAACAGAACATAAATAACTTGGTCTGATAAAAGTGCTATTTGCGGTTTAGCATCATATTAACACTGAGACATTTACAAACTATACGTCAGGAATAAAATTATACGGTTATGCAGACAAATATAATGATGCAAATAATAAACGATTTGAAATAAAGTTCTATGAAAGACCACCCCTTTGGGAGACTTGGGTTGACATGATTAAATTATACTACATAATTAAGTTTTTATATTAAATTTGAATTTTGGACAGTTAACATATGCAGCATATACACACATTCATAACCCACCTCTCTGTGTTTCTGTACATGTAGCCCAACGTGTTCTCCTTCCATTTTATCACATATATGTACAGCAGGTCTGCATCTACAAAAGGCATCCAAAGAAAAATATACATTTTGGCACCAGGCACAGAAATGAATCTACAGTTTTTATAAATAGTCCAAATCCAAAAAAATAAACTAACTGTTCTCACCCTGCAACATGTTACGTTATAATGACGATACATTGCGTGGAGCGAGAAGTGAAAGATGTAACATTTGGCATAATTGTTGCTGGAAGATTGAGGGAAAGTAGAAGGAGGAGAGCGACTGAGTTCTACCCCAGCAGACCTGACAGGAGGATCTACAGTGCATTTCTGTCAACAACAGACAATCGGTTGTTCTTCCTGAGTGCAAGAAGTAAACAGGACCTAGAAAACTGACCGATATCTAAAATTCAGGTTGGACGTCGGTTCTATTTACAATTTCTGTGCCACTTCCGACTCTGGGCATCGTTTGATTTTGTTCTTTTGACAAATGTACATTCTGTTAAACTGGTCTTCCTTACCAGCCCAAAAACACCCACAACATCACCAGCGTGACCTGAATTTTCACTGCCTCCGACACAAACATGGCTCTTCTTTATCATTTAGTGGCTACAGCTGAATCCTGACATGTCAAGACTGAGAACAGCTCGCCAACATTTCCTGAGACAGGATAAGGTAAAAACCTTTTTCTACCTTTGGGGAGGGACAGACCAGCTTTGAGGAATTCATTTTTATGGAAAATCAATATTTACAAAAACTACATGAACCAGTCTCTGTGGGGAACCTTATCTTGCAGAAACTCTACACCTCATTGATCGTGCGCTCTGTTGGCTGGAAGTTACGAGATCTGGTCGATGACACGTAGAAAGACTGGGTCATGCGATTGCGATTGAGGCGGGCTCTCTTGCTGGCCACACACAGGCTGCGCTTGCTGGAGGAGATGATCTCGGTGATGAACTTTTTGCAGTCAATACACACGTCCATGGTGACCCAGTCCTCCGTCAGCTCCTTGGGCAGCTCTAGTTCATCCTGTGATTGGCCGTCTTTGCTGCTGCTGCTGCTCTGTCTGGACATTCTGGGGAAAGAAAAAAAGATACAGAAAAACCAGATTAGAGCAGGATATTTGAAGTATGTTTTAGCAAAGTATTATAGTATTATACTTGTGGCCACTCCTCCGTAGACTGTTCCGAGTGTGTCCAGACTCAAAAGAGTGTTTTCCAGGCTCTGCTGGTGCAGACGCTGCCTCTTTAGTCAGAGCACTGGGGCCCAGAGAGTAAACTGGTAAAGTTGAATACGGCTTAGAGGGGAGACGCATCTGTGGTAGGAAAACACAATATGGTAAACGCTGCAATCTAGTATTTGTTTTTCTATCTCAGCAACTCAGACTAAAATTAGTCTTATATTTTTATTTTTGTTGTTATTTATTTATTTATTTATTTATTAATTTACAAAGATTTACCTTTTTAGAACACTGGGAACACACAGGTCTGGGGAAAATAAAAAGTTAACCAACAGGTTACACATCACTGAACAGCTGCCCATCTTCAACTGAGTGGTTCTGGAAAAACAATAATAAATCACCTCTTGCAGAATTGGCAGGTGTACGACCAGGTGAACAGGGAGAATTTCTTGGTCCGGCATGAAAAACAAAGCTGAAGGAAAAACAAAACAGAAGTGAAAAAAACAGAACATTAACAACAGCTCATCAGAAAAAGAGATGTTATAAAAGGATGGACATTTATGGACAAAACAGTATTTTATCATTCAACAATGTCTGATTACTTTTCTCATCTGATGACAGACCCTTAATCTAAATTGATTATTAATTTTCTCTGGTTTAAGTCATGCTCATGTCTGTAATTACTGCAAAATTACAGACAGTCCAAAGCCGAACATTATAGAAACACATGACAGTGAGAGGACAGGGGAAAGTTACTCCAGTTTACATGCATATTATTTCTTTGTATACATCAGCGTGGTAATCATATCACAGCCGTTTCTGTCAAAACTCTTTTTATTAAAATCACATTTCACCTACCTTTCCTTTCTTGAGAGCGTTGTACACTTCTTTGTACTGCTGGAACTTCTCCAGCTCAGCTTTGACCAGGACTTGTCTGATGTGCATCACCTCCTCCACCGTCAGAGCCAGACACTCCACTGGGTAGCAGAAATCCTCCTAAAAAAACAAAAAAGATTTACTTTATCAGCAAAATTCCTTTCCATTCATTGTTCATCTAAAACAGTGTGGAAGTTGATGAACTGCTGTAACACCATGTGAGTGCAGAGAAACCCAGTGAAAAGATGAATCTCAGGAAACACAGACGGCCTCAAACTAAACCTCCAAACACGTGCAGAGAGACGGTGATGATGGAAACAATCGTGGATGTAAAAGACTGAAACACCTCCAATGATATGATGACAATGACCCACATTCCATCAGTGAAACACACCCCTCATGTCAGTGGTCCACTGTTTGACTCCAGACAACAGGTCCAAATTATGTCCAAATAGAAACAATATCATTTTTTTTTTTAAAGATGAACTCAAATCAATGGACCACGGCACTGAGTTCAGATCTGTGACATACTGTAGATGTTCTATCTTTGCACTCAAAGTCCAATTTTGCAGAATTAAATAGTTTGTTTGGGATAACCATGTTCTTGAAAATCATTTACACCAAGTTAAAACGTTAGCAATTGCATTTTATTTTTCAACTCTTTCCAACTATGCCACAGATCTGTCCACACAAAGGTCAGACTTAATCCAAGACAAGTCTGCTCCAATATCCATACGCTCCATTTGACATGACTTCCCAGCAGAGAGTTATGAGATTTCTGATGATAACGGCTGATCATGTGCAGCAGCAGTCACGTACCGTGCCCCGTGCACCACTGGCACTGGCAGCTCCCACCTGACCAGTATGAAGAGGAACAGAACATTCACACACAAGAAATTATTTTATAGTTTTACAAACGTATTACATACAGCAGGTTTATAAAAATGATTTTAAAAACAGTCTAGTAAAATACAACACACATGGTCCCAGTGAGACCTTGGTATCTTAAGAAAAAGAAAGAAGCTCATAATAGAAAGTGCTATGCAACATTTTCAGTGCACAGAAGTGTGCTTTAAATCACAAGGGTCACTCATACGGAGTGACCAGTGTATGTCACATTGCAATTCAAATTCCTAGAATTTTCCAAGTTAAAAGTGTGGTCTTAAATTCTCTCCTGATAGCTTAGCTTTGTAACCCAAGGCTGGGCTAACAAACAGAACAACCTGGTCTATGTTGGACCAGAATATCTAGTTTTTCTCCACTTAGCTGTGGAGCTCCCTAAAACGACAACCCAACGTGTTGAAAACATCCAAAACCTAAATGTCAACATTGTGTGACAGCACAACATTGACCACAATATAGTTTGTGTAATGTGAAGGAATCCTAACCCATTTCCTTCTGTTCCTTTTTTTTTTTTTAACTGTGGTCCAAGTCCCATGAATGAAGGGTCATCTAACAGTTCCCCTCTCAGAAGGACCACAGTTCACTAATGTGTCATCCTTCATCTCATCTTTGTGTATTTCTTCTTTTTCCTGAATGTCACATGTCTGCACCAAACTCCCTTTTTAACTTAATTTTACACATTATTCATGCATTCCTTAAAATCTACAATCAGTGTTTCTTATATAACACACAACAATGCTCTGCGAGGAACTAAACTTGTTGATGGACAGATGATCTTTGCCAAGGTTACCCTGGCACCGATGCATCAGCTGCAGCATCTACACAGAATAGAAACTGACCTCAAGCTAGTATGTGGGTCGAGACGTTCAGAGCAGTGTAAACACGTTTGTGAGAAGAAAAACATCGACAACAAAGATTTCTCTGTTTGACATGAGCCAAAAGAACTCGATACCTCCTAAAATGTATATAACAAATACAGCAACAAAATGAAGATCAGTGGCCTATGGGAAAATATTATTTAGGTAAACAATTGTTAGCACAATTTGGTGAAATATTAACCAAATATACTTAATTGATAATACTTAATAAATAGGAAAAAACAATAATACAGCCTTATTATAGTAATATAGTTAAATGCAGATTTACAGGTCACTGATGGTAAGGAGGTTATAACGAGTGTTGTGTGAAGAATGAAATCATGTAATTCCCATGAGAATCAGCTTTTCCTCCACCTCTCCACCTTCAGCTGCCTGACTCTAAGTATTGACTCTCAACCGCTCAACCATCAGTGGGGAGAATGAAGTCATTCCATCTGACTGCTGCAGCCTGTCCTGAGGTTTCAATTACACGCATCAGCCTCACTGGAATCATACGACCAAAACACAGAGGTGCTCAGAGAAGAGCTGACCTCACGCCAAAAAAGTCACAGGACAGGAAGAGACATTCATTCACATATTTAACATCCTGTGTTGTGGTGCATTCCTCCTAATAACATGTTGTGTCCCTGATTATGCATCATCTTTAAGTGCCATTAGAGTAGTTTATGGACGGGTCGTACCAAAGACTTGGAGGTCTGTTTGGATGGAGGTAGGAACGGGTGGACAGTGGTGGGAGCCTCCTTCTCTATGGAGTGTCGCCTGTGAGGAGACTGACGTTTGTCCGGCTGTGGTGTAGCAGAGATGGGCAGGAACTTTGGAGGGGCTGTGGAAAAATACACAAAAATACTTCCATGTTATTTTGCATTTAATACCAACCTGTTTAAAAATAGAAAAGTTTAAATATTTGTAATTGTATACTACAAATATCAATCTCTGCGACCCCCTGTGGACCCCATGTTGAAGACAGGTTCAACCTCATACCTTTCCTGCTTGGAGCAGACTCTGGAGACGTGTCCTCCATCAGAGACGTGGACATACTGGAGCTGCTCTGTGTGGGCTCCTCCTGTCAAAAGATCAGTGCTTTAGATGTTTTTCAAAAGGCAGCTTTTCTAATAGGTTTCATTAAAATGTTTAGTAATAAGATGTGTCAGTAAGAGGACAGCAGTGTGATGAGCACAGCAAACTTCTTACATCAGAATCAGAGCTGTCCAGCTCAGCCAGCGCCGGCGCCTTCAGCAGCCTCTTCCTCTGACTGAGCGGTTGAACTCCACTTTGACCTGACCCTGTGGTGCCGTTGGCCAAAGACTGCGTGCTGACTGCCAACTTCCTGGGGGCATCAGGAGTGTCTGTGGGCCAAAGACAGGGCAGTCAGTCAGAGAAGGAGCCGGTGATGATTAGAAACTTTTTAAAAAAGCTTAAGTTGGGTTTCTAGGCCCCTGTGAATATGATGTATATATTGATGTTTATATATATAATATTGATGCAGAAATACAAATATTAAGAGAAAAAAATGCAGTTATATATTCTTTGCTCTATAAAGCTCTATAACATCTATTGACATTAGAATTTTATTTCTCAGAGCGGCTCTTGAATTGTCATTTCTGAACAGCCGGTCTCCTCGGTCACTGCTAACTGTATACAAAGCCACGTGGATCAACTTATGCTGAGGTCAGATTGGACTATAACTCAGACTCAAATATGATTGTAAATAAAGCAGAACAGGCGCCGAGGACTATTTCCATTTGTTGCTGAAGGCTGTTGTCAAAACACATTAAACCAAGGTTGGCCTTATTGTTGGCCGTACTTTACCTGAACTTCTGTACAGGTCTTGTGGAGTGCTGATGCTTTTTCCCGCG